ATTAAAACGAAAAAGTTATGATATTTTTAAGAGTAGAAAAAATATTATTCATTAACTTGAGTTTAAATTTATGAACTCGAGTTGAATAAGAAACTTGAACCCAAATTTAGGAGATATTTAGTTTGAGGATTCAAACCATGATTTTAATCATAGTTTATGATTCGCTACAGTATTTTCTTTCACAAAAAATACACATAAATTAAAAATAATTCTAATTACATGATTCTAATCACATAATTCTAATTCATAAACTAAACATCTCATTAATTTTAAATTTAAATTTAAATTTAAACTCAAATTTTATAAAAAAAATATAAACTTAAATAAAATTATAACTGAATTTAAATTTTTTTTAAATTTCGTCACGAAATAACAGCCCATTTATTTTTATGGGGATCATTTTTGGTAACGAAAACAACAAATGCACGTACAAGTTACAACAAATATTAAAAAAAGTGCTTGTCTTGTCAATTTTGATTTGTGACTAACCAAAGCATGACCCATGGTACTTGTACACAAGGCATCTGACTTTGGGTGTGTGTGTGTAAGTAAGCAACAATATACACCGTAATAATGTATACCCCTTTTTTCCTTAAGCACCAAACGGGGCATTTTTGGTGTCCCAATAAACTTCCCCAACTAAGCAATTAATTATATCACTGACAAAAAAAAAACATAGGTGTTTCAGAAATCCTACTGTGGGTCAGCCCTAGTTTCAGTACTAGGACAATGTAAAAAGATCCTACGCCGGTTACACAAGAAGCAAAGCAACCAAATTGTCAGTCCCTAATTCAATTTCAAATTTCAAACAAATTGTCTTTTGTTGTTTGTCATTACGATTAATTTAATTAATAATTATTGACAAGCACATCACACATTTGTCTGCCATTAGTTATTGACTTAATTTGATAGTACTGTAAATTTTAAAAAAATTATTTTTAACTGTGTTAAAAGAAAAAACAGTTATTATAAAAAATAGATTAGTGTTTAATAAATTATAATTATAGTAGTTGTGTTAGTTTTAAAATCAGTGTAATAATGTTTGATAAATTATGAGGTTGAATTACTGTGTATAGTTAAAAATTATGACTATATTATATTATATTATAGTATAATATATATAATTACAATGTAATATATATTTATTATTATATTTAATATAATAAAAAAAACTATTATTATATAATAATGATATAGAATATAATAATATTATTAAAATTGTTAATATAATTACAATATTATAATATTACATAAGAAATAATAATATTTCAGTTATAATATAATTAAAAATTACAACTATATTATAATATAATATATTATATTAGGCCAAGTCTCCAGTCCAGTACAGGACTCGAGCGGGACTTATATTTTTTTTTAAAAATAGGTATATATATTTTTTTTAAATAGGTATATTTTTTCTTTAAAACGTGTATATTTCTTCTTAAAACATGTATATATTGTATATTTTACCATAAAAGGAAATGTACATTTTTTAAGTAGAAATATACACGTTTTAAAAAAAGAAATATACATATTTTAAAGAAGAAATAATAATTACAATATCATATTATAATTATAATATCATATTATTAAAATAATTATAATATCATGTTGATAAAATAATAATATTAGAGTTATTAATATAATTATGATATTATTTATTACAATATTACTATTATATTATACTATATTATATTACGACTTTGAATTTTAGATTGGAAAAATTGTAAATTTTAAATTTCATTTGGGGTATTATAGGTATTATGAAAGTTTCATTTTGATTCCCACACAATCTAAAAGTTAAAGTTGTCTTTAGGCTGCTTCTGATTTTGACTGTAGATTCTTGAAAAATTCTTCAAAAAACACTTTTGATGAGATTTACCAAACACTTAAATCAATTTCTGCTACAAGCAGAAGCAGATTTTGAGAGGGAAAAGCAATACCAAATTAAGCCATTATTCAATAACAACACAACTGTTCTCAAACAAAATTCTTGTTAATATTTAATATTTATTTAGAGAAATTAGACATTCTTATTCTTATTACTATTCTTCATTGTAGTTTTTTCTTGGCAAGTTCCAAACTTTAACTAGCAATAAAACAGTAACCAATAATTACATGGATACTAATTGGACAACATTAAGGGCTTGTTCATTTGCACCGAAACTCAAAAAAAGTTTGAACTCAAATTACAATTTTATTTAAGTGCATGTTCTTTTGTAAAATTTGACTTTTAACTTGAATTTTAATTTGAATTTGGAGTTAAAATATAAGTTCAAGTATTCACTTCAACTGAAGTTCATAAACTCAAACTCAAGTTAATAAACCATATTTTTTCTATTCTTAAAAATGCTATAACTTTTTCGTTTTAATTCCTATTGAGATGATTCGTTTTTTATACATTCACAATGAAGAGACGAATAAAACTCTACCAATATACCCTATTGAAATTTTCTATCATCATCGTGTTTTTATTAAAATACTATCTAAATGCAAACTCAAGTTTTGACCCACCTAAATACAAACTCAAAAAGATTCACATCTCAAACCATAACTCAGATGTACATAATAAAAAACAAACTCAAATTAACACTTCAACTTAAATTATAACTCAAATTCAACTCAAGTCCCTAATATTTGGAGGCTAAACATTTACTCTACCCAGTTGTTCTCATGTTGCTGCTACTTCGAGGAAATCTGTGTTTGTATGTATATTACAAGATTTTACTATCTCGAGATTGATAAGATATATCATTAATATTAAAAAAATTTTAAAAATACTTAAATAATTCATGAGGTGTTAAATTTAATGACAATTTTACAATAGAGGCTTAAGCCCTCACTCATTTTTTTATTTTTAAAAATTTTATAAATATGATTGGTCCTGCTAAAATTAATAGTCCTTATCAAAGATATCACTTTCTCCAAAAATTCAATATATTTAAAAACGATAAACTCAATCCTCAATGGCCTTAATAATGAAATTAATATAAATATTTTCAAAGCATGAAAAATGGTCGGGGAACAATTATAGTACACTAATAGATATTTATTTTTTATTAAATTTTATTTTAGTTATTAACTCTTATTTGACAAATGATAGCACATATGTGCACATTGAGACACCTTCACAATTGTATTGGTTTGCCTATATGACTCGACACAAGCAATATAGCCGATCAGACATAAGGTCTGTTTGGTAGTGATTTTTCAGAGCTCAAAAGTGATTTCACATCCATCCAAGTTACTTTTAACGTTTGGTAAAAAGTGCAAAAACCAATTATAAGAGAATTTTAGCTAAATCAGTAGCTAGAAGCGGAAGCGACAATTTTGATGCTTCTACTTTTAGATTCCCGGTCAATCACTTGATAACATTAATGATAATTTTATAATACCATAAATACCCCTAAAAATTTAGAAAATGACCAACTGTGTCATTATTTACCCTCACAGACTATAATCTTGCTTTATTCCCCTCCACCCAAAACTCTCATTTCTTATGTTTTTCGTGGTACTTTGCTATGACACATTGAACTTAGTTACACCATTAGATGATTAAACATGGAATGTACATTTTTGTTGTATATGTTGATTACTCACTAATGTTTTTTTTTTTTTTTTTGTAACTATATTGTGAATGAAGAAATGAAAAAAATTAATTATCATAAATTTATTGTTAAAAAACTCAGAATCAAAACATTATATTTTTCTTTTTTAAGTTAAATAAGTATTTCAAAATACCAAAAAATAATTATATATATTTAAGTTTCACACCATGTTTATTTTAATCATTTTAATTACCTATAGTAATTTAACATCACAATTTATCAAACGCTATTATATTAATTTTTGAACTAACACAGTTAGTATAATTATAATTTACTAAACATTTAACTATTTTTTATAACATTTATTTTTTTCTTTAACACAGTTAAAAATAATTTTTTCAAAATTCACGACACTATCAAACTAAGCCATGGAGTAAGAAACCTGATCCTTCGGAAAAGAGAGAAAGAGAGAGAAGAAAGGCAACTTCTTTTTGAGCTGAGTTCAAATTATGTAGAAAAACATATTATTAATAGCCCTTTTCTATGGAAACATTTTTGTTTTAATCTTGTTGGGTTAAAACTAAAAATTAAAAATTTAGTTGCCAAAAATAAAAATAAAAACTATAGATTCGGGATTGGTGTGGAATGGTGGATCTTACCTACACTCGCATAAAAAACAAAAAAGAGTTCTTATATCAATAAAAGAAAATAGAATTTGACTTTGTAATACTAATTTAATAATTCATTTTTAGTATAAAAAGATAGATCTATTTTTTTTTTATTTTTTGGAAAATAGAGATCTATTAGGAACCAAAAGAAAAATGAACACGTAAAAAAAGTAAAACCATAACATATTCATCTCCAAAATAATAACGTGTTCATTTGTGATTTACATTTTTAATTTAAATTAAAATGTATTTTTATGTAAAAATTTTTTTATTATAATAAAAAAATTAAATGTAATTATTTTTTAAAATTTTTAATTATAATAAAATTTAAATTTTAAATTTAAATCGATAAAATTAACGTGTTAAATCATTTTTAAATCGCCACGTGTCAAAAGCCTCTAACCAGGACATCTCCTCTTCAAGGGACCCCACATCAGTGGGTCCCAGAAATACCATTTGCAGATGCCACGTGTTAACATTTCCATCTCCCTAAAAAAACTCTAAAAAAAAAATCCCTTCTTCTATTCTTCTTATTCAGAATTCCTTTTTTTTTCATTTTTTTTTCAACTCGTTCTAATTTTTTTTTTTTTTTTAAATATATATAATGAAAATCTTTTGTTGCATGAGCTCAAACAAAACAAAATCCACTAACCCTTTTGAGAGAATATATAATATTAATATTGTTTGTTTCTGATTTTCGTTTTCCCATTTCCCCTTTTTTTTTTCCTTCATTCTTCTTCTTCTTCTTCTTCTTCTTTCGCTTTCTTTCGTTTTCTCAGTCACTGTGCGTGCGTGTTGTCTCTGTTTCTTTTCCTCCTCCATTGATTTTCCCGGAAAACAAAAGAAAAGAAAATGAGGTGGGACAGATTAGAACTTGTAGGCGGAGAAGGAGAGCAGAGAGAGGAGGAAGTGTTGGTGGGTGGTTCTTCTGGGCCAGGGAAGCGGTGGGGTCACACCTGCAACGCCATTAAAGAAGGGAGATTTCTCTACGTCTTTGGTGGTTATGGCAAAGATAACTGTCAGACCAACCAAGTACACTTCTTCAACTCTGGTGGGTCTTTCTTTTCTTCTATCAAAAAACCCAATATGTATATATACACACACATATGCATAGGTATATGTATATGTATAAATTTCCCATGATTGTCTGTTTTTCTCGTTCTTTTTTTTAATGGGTGTTTTCGTTTTGTGTGTGTATGTGTGTGGCTTGGCACTTTGGTATGTAGTTTTTCATTTTGGTTCATAATGTTAGGGGTGAAGGTTTGAAACTTTTGTTGGCATGTTATGTCGATTGATCGTTATGAGGAACGCTATGGAATTGTTTCTTAGGGTTTTTTATTGTTGGGTTTGTTTTTGTAATCTTGTAACTTCCTTTTTTAGGTCTTCTGTTTAGCATTAATTAGTTTCTAATTTTTTGTGGGTACTCCCTAGTTTGAATCTTCCTTTTCCCCCCTTTTCAGATATGAAATTGGCATATGCTACATTTAAAAAAAAAAATGTTGGGAGTTTGATTTTGCATTTGGGTGTTCTCTTGCATTTACCTTTTTGTATCTTTTTTTTTTTTGGTATTGAAATTGATTAATATTATATAGTTGATTGTCTAATTCTGAATGGCTGATTGCAGCCACACAGACATGGAGGCAGCCAGTGATAAAAGGCACACCCCCGACCCGGAGGGACAGCCATAGTTGTACTACTGTTGGTGATAATCTCTATGTATTTGGTGGTACAGATGGGATGAATCCTCTCAATGATTTGCATATATTAGACACTTGTGAGCAACTTCTTCTTTTAATCTCTTCCCCTTTATTAGCATTTTCACACGACCATGTGCAGGACGGTACCTTGCCTTCTTCGTTTGCGTGCTTAAAAGGCAAATTCGTGAACAAATAGGTGTTCGAAATAATACTAAAATCATGCCTTTTGATCTGTAAAGTATTTGTCCAATCCGATTACGGGATCTTACTATATTGTTTCTTGTATTGTAGCCTCACATACATGGATATCTCCAAGTCTAAGGGGAGAAGGACCGGAGGCGCGAGAGGGCCATAGTGCAGCCCTTGTTGGTAAACGGCTGTTCATATTTGGCGGTTGTGGCAAATCTTCTAGTAGTAACGAGGAGGTGTACTACAATGATCTCTACATATTAAATACAGGTGATCTTTCTATGAAATAGAAGTTGCACCAATCACTTTGCAAGTTGGAATCCTTTTGATTATTAATGGCACAACACCTCAAAGGATGATACGAACAAGTTTAGTTGACTTGCTTAATATATTGCTCTTGAAGTATCCTTAGAAATAATTTGTGGAGGTTAATGTGCTTGCTTGCTTTGTCATTAAGCCTCTAGGACTTTTAGGTCTCATATTGGATCCGAATTTTACATTGTGAGTGGTTGATAGTATAGGCTCTCCAATCAGTGTCCTTCTTATCACCTCTAGAAAATGAAGATGTGTTTTGAAGATAGAGATGGGGATACCGGGTGTTGGGTACAAAGAGCATTACATCTCATCTAGACTTAACTATTGAGTTTAATCATAATTTGGGGTATACAACTATACATTAAGAACATCTGGGATGCGTGGCTATAGGTTAGCGACTAATCGATTGAAATATTCTTTTCTTTTAATATTGTAGAGACATTTGTATGGAAACGAGCTACTACATCAGGCACACCACCATCTCCACGCGATAGCCATACTTGCTCTTCTTGGAAGAACAATTTCATTGTGATTGGTGGTGAAGATGGGCATGATTACTATTTGTCTGATGTTCATATCCTTGACACAGGTACTGCTAGCTAGTCTGCATAGTTTACTGGCGCGACTTGAAGTATATTACTTAGAATTGTTATTTGATAGGAAAAATAAAATCATTGTCGCTTCAGTATATTGTAAATAGTCCTATACATTTTGATATATTTCTGGTGTTGCATACTTCCATAGATACTCTAGTCTGGAGAGAGCTGAACACTTTGGGCCATTTATTGACCCCTCGTGCTGGTCACTCGACTGTTGCTTTTGGCAAGAAGTTATTTGTTTTTGGTGGATTTACAGATGCCCAAAATCTCTACAATGACCTGTACATGCTAGATATTGGTATGTATCAATAATATCCTTAAAATATTCTGGTTTACTTGAATTTTCCTTTTTCTATTACTTTTTGGTGTGCATGGAGATAATTTGAATTCCATAGTTGGAGCAGACTTGTAATGGCATTGACTCCGTTGTCATGTTTGTGAATGGACTTCTATACGAGTCAAATATGGATAAAACCAAATGATTTTGACTTTTGAGTAAAATGTGTTCTATAGTAGTATAGTTTCATTCACCGTCTTAAAGATGGTGGAAATCTCACTATGAAAAAAGGCTGATTAAACTTTATGTATAATTTATGATTAAACTTTATGTATAATTTAAAGGCAAGCACTTTTCTTCGACATTAATGTTCAACGATTCTGATCAATGTCCTTGTCTGTCTACCTTGCGTTCTTACTTTGTGTTTCTCTTCCTGGCATTTTTTCTTTCTCTTTTTTTTTTCGTCCGCTAATCTAACCAAGAGTGTATTGTTGGTGCAGATACTGGGGTATGGACCAAGGTTGCTACTGTAGGCGATGGTCCTTCTGCTAGATTCTCTGTGGCAGGAGACTGTTTGGATCCACACAGGAGAGGTGTTCTTGCATTTTTGGGTGGTTGCAATAAGAGTCTTGAGGCACTCGGTGATATGTATTACTTGCATACAGGTTAAGTATGAGTAGCATTTGGTTTCCTGGACTGCAACATTATAATGTCTTACAGGAATGGTATTTAAATTTCAGGACTTATTAAGGAAAGTGAACAGAGGCTCGAGAAACTGTCGCTGAGGAAGCAGTTGAAGCTTAAGTGCCAAGAACAAAATCTTACTCCTATTCATGACAAGTCTCTTGTGAGAGTTGGCATTGGGGCTAATATTTACCAACCTGTGACAGTGCCAGTTTATGGCCAAGCATGTGAGTAGGGGTTGCAATTTGCGTTCACGAGTTAACGATAAGAAAATAGTTGAACTTCTACATAACTAGTTCATTAATCATTTAAACTATGTAACTGATACTGGGAAAGTTTTTCTTTTTTTAATGATTTTGTGACTAGGTGGAGAATGCAATACTACTCATTATTAATTTATAAAGCATCGAAGTGACCTCATGTAACATGTTTAGTTTTCTCCTGTTGAATTTATTCACATCAAATTCAATTGATGTGTTTGTATATGGTGGTTTATTTACAATCGTAATTCATAATCATACATTACCTCTCACAGTTTTAGAAACAGGACGGGGGATCAATTTAAATATAGTAGAGCTTTTGTATTTCATGACACTTTTAATTTATCGCAGCATTTAATTCGAATCTCATAATATGCATCAAAATGCATATATCCTTTAAAAGAAATTGACGTTATAGCCATGCATCTAAAATTCTATTGCTCTCATTGCAGACATACAGAATATCAGTTTGATACAGTCCCCACCACTACAGGGAAAGAAAACATTTCAAGCCAGGGTTACTGAAAGAATCTCAGATGGATATACTATTGAAACTTACATTGATGGAAAGCCTCTTCGCGGAATATTGTTCTCTGGCAGGCAAGACTATAACCATACGGCTATTCCTACTAGTAGTAGGTAAGAGTATAGACTTCTTTTGTTCATTTTATAGTTGGTAGATTTGGCAAAATAAGAAAAGACATTCTTTTCTTAACACTACAGCTAACATTTTTTATTGTTTCATTCTCTAACCAGGAAGCGGGCTGCTGGGGAAACTGGAGATGGTTTGCAAAATGGTGACTATAGCAGCCAAACAAAAAGTTCTAGGGTCCTGAAGCTGGATACTGTAGATAACAGAGAGGCGGTTAATGTTTATGAACAAGAGTCATCGTCACATGAGCTCCAGATAGAAGGTGCTGCGGTTCCTACTTCGAAGGATCAACCATGTTTTGATACTCAGAAACACAAGGTCGGGCAAACTTTTCCCTTTTTTTCTCTTTTATTATTATTTTTTCCTTTTGCTTTTTGTTATTCCGGTTCTCAAGAGTTGCTTGATTAGAATTTGGTCATCTGAAACAAGGTTGTACTCTGTGATTAACAGTTAACAAGTTACCAGGACATTCTTGGTCTGGCATAAAACATTATAGGGTTAGTTTGCTGTGTATCATTTGTCTTAGGAGAAGAAGTCAAAGCTCAAATCAAATGTTGAGAAAAAGTAAGATATTTAGATTTTGTACTTTTCTTGGGATATTTTGGTATATAATAGAGCATCGCATTTCATAAGCGTTTATGATAAAGCAATATTTCTTTGTTAAATAGAAGTTAGTTATTATGATAAAGCATTATTTCTTTGATTTGCTTTTAGGATAGTGGACTAGTGAGTAAATTAACAAGAGTATTTCTCTTCTCCCAGTAGTGTAGTTCATTTATTATGCGCTTTGTTTAGCAGACAACTCCATATCAAATAACTTGAAAGCTAAAGTGCAATCATTTGTTTGAATGCTACTTACTTTATTCTTGTTACGGGTAGAAAATGCCCATAAGAAGTGAAAATATGTATGTGTGTGTGTGTGTATATAGAAGAGGTATAAGCTCTCAACTTACATATTCACATTTAACATATTCGAAGAGATGAATTGGTGTTACTTCCATTTCACTATTAAAGTTCTTCATTACATGATGTCCATGTCCCTAAAATTTCATTTGAAGTTTTGAACTTTGTGACTTTCGTTCAGGACACTGAACCACTGGTGACTCCTTTGGATTTGGGAAATGAGCAGTCAAAAAATGCAACAAATTTCAACCCCGAAGTTCCAGGAGAGGACAGGACAAACAGTGCTCCAAATGGTAATGGTGAGATTCCGAAAGAAAAGCCGTCTGCCCCAGCAAATAACTCTAATTTGATGTCCCTTGATCAAGGTATTTAATTAATAAGTTTTATTTGTATGGCATCTTACATGCATGTCCTTAAGCCTATCTTTGATAGAGAAGGGAATCTTTATCTTGATTTGTTTGGTAGAGAGGAAGTAAATCGATGGGACCCACCACATTTTTTTTATCCTTCCAACTTCGGAGAGGAAAGAGGAGAGAATATTTGACAAAACAAATCGCAAGTCTGATAACCATTTTGACCTTGATCACACCTTATATTCTTATTCGAAATTAGGGTATAATTGTGAAACAAACTAGATTAGACATTTTGTTTTCACCTCTCTCTCTTATACCAAACAATATGACAGAAATGCTTCTTCCTTTTTGTCTTCTTCACTTTGGTGTTTTGCTTCTTCTTCCTCCCTCCCTATTTTCTCTTTTGTACCAAACATAGCATAGGCATAGATAGGACATTCTTTCCTCGCGCTTATATGGCAAAATTGTCGACTCAAACTGAAATCATTATTGATCTAGGATGACCAAGAGAAAGCAGAGAGAGAAGAGATAAAGAAATAGAACCACTAGAGAACAAGAACTCTGAGGAAAATCAGAAATCTCAATACCCATTCACCAACCGTAACTGAATTTAGAGCCCGTTTGGTTCATGGATTAGAACTATTTTCGATTTATGTGTATTTTTTGTGAGAGAAAATACTGTAGCGAACCATGAATCATGATTCGAATAAGAGAATGAATCCTCTAACCAAACGGGCTCAAATTGCTCTTGCTAAGATATTTATAGATAAATAACAATAAAAATAAGATTAACTTAACTAATACCAAACAATATTAAGATAAAAACATAATCCTAAATGCAAATTTAAATACTGAACTAAAGTATATCTCCATCAGATATAGTATTCGTTTCTAATAAATTGGCACGGCCTTGGAACTTCTGTGGTCCTCATCTCATGATCAGTATATTGTCATTCAACTTTTTCCAACATATACCCTTTTCTTCAAAATTGACACTTCTTACTAGCTGATCAGCTGTTCAATTTTCTGATGATAGATGACAGGACATTAACCTCTGGACACAATGAAGCAGCTACTTCAACTTGAAACAGGTTGATCATTAACGGGTAACTTCTAGAGACTAGAAAATGCACAAATGACTGTCTTTTGTACATTCGTCTAAGGTGATCATAGAATGCATATGACAAGATAATACAGGATTCGCTAACTGGCGGTATTTCCCACCACCTAACTCTTTTTAGGTCTAAAGCTGTTTAGTTCTATGTAGTTTGTGTCTAAGAGTGGCGATTTTATGATGACTCCTGGTTCGGATTGAGCCGGCTTCGTATATTTTTGGACAAAGAGGTTACTTCCCAGAAGCTGGTGACTTGTTTAGATATGTTTTAGCAGCAAGAAAGAATCAGATGGCACTTGCAGCACTTTTCTGCTGGTTCCATTTCCATGAGATGTCAAAGATGGCCTGAAGTATTTATTTATTTTGTTTCTTTCCATTTCTAAACTGAAAAAAGGAAGTACAGAATCTCTGGAAGAGAATTTCATTTTGGAAAGCTTTTTCTAGGGAGGGATTTGTCTCTCTTTTCTTTTTGGTCAAAGGTTCCATATTTATATACACTCCTTGACGGCTTCAAGGGAAGATAATTTCTTGCATTTGTCTTATCTACAATTAAAGATTAACATTTTGAGTAGTGGTATTATCACCGTCACCATTGAGCTATATCCAAATTCAACCAAATTGCCGTTTATTTTCGCGGACTTTAAAGATAACATTTTGTACTTTGACTTTCTGTAAAATATTTACTGATAAATCACGTTATGAACCTGTGATTATTAACGCTTAATTTCAGAAATTTGTCGAAATCTTTATGTCCAGAGACTAAAATTGCTAAAAATTATTAAATTTATGAAATAATCAGCCCAAAAAAAAAAAAAAAAAAACAGTTATAACTATAGTTGAGGACAAGAAACCACGGCCAGTATTCTTATGGTGTGAGCAGCATGTCGTTTTGCCAAAGAAGTTTGTCGTCGTTTTGTAAATCATGTCCTTCCTCCCGTCGCCTGTTTGCCAGAGGGTAGGAGTGCTAATTCATATTAAGACACCTAACACAACCAAAACCAGACATGTTCAACATGAAATTAACTTAAATTAAGTTGATTTATTAAATTTTTAACTAAAAATGTTATAAAATGGATATAAGTAAGATAAAAATGAAATCTTTAGGGTAAATTAATGCAATTTAGAAGGGCTTAATCTTAATGAAAGGACATTAATTTAAATCCTAGATTTTCAAATTGAGAGAGATATTAATAGAGATCAAGAATTCTCACTATTTCTTAGATTCATGGACCCAATTAAATTCAGTAGTATCTTTCATTCAAATTTTTTCCATCAAGAGCTTTTATAAAACTCTTGGACTCCCGAATTTAAAGTATCCTACTTTCACACAATTCACATTTACAGGATTTAACAAGCAATTGATATTTCAAAAGGGTAACTAATAGTGCAGGATGCCTAGCTCACAAATTGATAAGTCTAACATGTGAATCTCAAATATGTGAGACACATTGTAAGTAGTGGTATTTATTAGCATTGATGCTATATCTACATCTATATTCAACCAATGTGACGTAAATATATAAACAATAAACATATGATTAATAACCTCAACTCAAATTAAACTTTTTATATTGATAGTGTTCAATCAATTTAAATGATACTTCATTAAATGATTAGAGATGTAATTATGGGCCAGGGTCGGCCCAGGGCCATCCTACTACAGTGTCATGCCGGCCTAGCCCATCAATAATGGTGGGGTTGGACTGGACTGGGCTAGCATTTCTCAGTCTATGAGTCGGCCCAACACTACTAATGAAATTTCATAGGTCAAGCCCGGCCAGACTAGGGTCATCGTGGGTCGGTCTATGTAAGGCCTACTTAGTCTGGCCCAATATAGATCCACTGGGCCAGCCCACCAAAGACCCATTTTAATGTAACTATATATATTATCTATATTTACTAATATTGTAAATATCTTATGCACAATTATTCTGACTGTACTCTTTTTTTCTTATCAAGGTTTTGTCCTACTAGGTTTTTCTTAAAAAGATTTTTAATGAGGCAGTCGTAAATAAAATCTCTTTTCATATTTCTATTGACTATTCACACTTTTATATTTGTTAACTTATCTAGAAATTCAAAAACGAAAATTACAAAAATTACAAAAATTACAAAAATGCAAGCTAAGATGAGATGGCTCATTATGGGCCAAGATGGGCCTACCTATCCTAACTCGTAGATGGGCTAGAATGGGCCGGCCCGTTCATAGCCCATGGCACGGCCCAGCTTGGCCCATGACATGACCCAGTCTAACTCACGTAAAATTGACATGTGGTGTGAGTTGGGTCAAAAAATATTCTTATATGGGCTGATCTAGTACGGCCAACTAAAATTATGGACTGGGCCGGCACAGCCCATGATCCGTGTGGGCTTTAGTAGACGGAGTTGCGTCTTTCTTGATAACAATAAAATCACCTACAACTAACATCTATTTGGGTAACCTCTAGCTAGGCTCTAGCTTTAGTCAGTCTTACCACTTACTAGGAATATTGTTGTATGTGTGCCGCGAGACTGGGAACATGATGAGTCAAGCTCTCACTCTAACGGAGCCAATCCTCTCCCTAAAAGCCCACCAACCAGTATTAAATGCCAAGTCCTCTTCTTAAAAACCCACCAACCAGTACTATAAATGTGTCAACTACTGATAAACCGGTACTCTAAACAAGTTGAGTTAACTTGGTGTCTAGACACTCTATATGCCATTCAGAAATGGGTAGCAGAAAAACCCGTTTTGCAATGGCCTCTATTTTAGCGTTACTTCTCATAGTAGTGTAATATCCAACATTTTGAGCTGCTAACTTGGGAGGAGCGTTACAATTTAATGTTAGAGCAATATGTTTCCGGAGATATAGTGGGAGTTTCATAGGACTAAGTACTCAGTCAACATAAGATTTATATTTTGAGGAACAAGTGTGTTTTTGAATTTACTAAGACAATTATTCAGTTGAAAAAATTAGATTACTAAATTTTGAGGACGAAATTTTTGTAAGAAGGGGAGAATTGTAATATCTAACATTTTGAGCTACTTGCTTGAAAGGGGCGTTATAAGTTGCCAAATTGTCTAATTCAGCTTATGTCGGAAACAATACGTTTGGTTGCAGTGAGAAGGAGAGGAATGCAGTTCCGAAACTGAAAGAAAGTCTCAGCGACACTTGAAGACTTCTTTCTACTTCTTGGATGGGAAAAAACTAGTGCAACTGGTTTCGTGTGAGCTGTAGCAAGCAAGGGCATGTCACCAAACTTGATCTCCAGGGGCATGATGATAAGTCAAGGCAACAACGAGCAGACACGTGAGGAGAAGATGTTGTATTTGGAAGGTAAGTTAAATCCTTCTTTGCTTGACCTTCTTGAATCTAAGCAGCAACAACTTCTGTGGTCACAGAATGCCAAACTACCTCGGTTCTTTGTAGAATTTGAGATACTTGGACCTTTCATATTCTAGCTTCTCAGAAGTAATTCCTCCTAGTCTTGGCAATCTGTCAAAGTTGCTTTATCTTGACCTTCATGTTAGAGAGATTGTAATATATCTCTCAATCTTGATATCACAAAATTGGATTAAAACACATTCGGGAAGAGTAAGCTGACGCAAGCACGCGCTGCAGCGCGAAAGAGTGCACGCTGCAGCGCACAGACGCGCTGCAGCGCGTTTGGGCGCTGCAGCCTGCGTAAAACAGACCCTCGGGTCTGTTTTGCTAGGCATGCGCGCTGCAGCGCGCATTTGAGCGCTGCAGCGTAAATCTTCGACGGAAAATGTGTTTGTGTGTTTCAGTGATCTGAAAAGGTCTCAAACCATTGTATCTATTTGTGATATGTTTTCTCACATATATGAGCACTTATTAACAATAGAAATAACTATTGTTATAAGTGCATCAGCATATAAAAGATAACCATCAAATTGAAAAGGTATCTTTATGTGAAAGGTTGTAACACTTAAAGAGGATGCATGCATCCCTGTCTTTATATAATGGATTACAGAAAATACAGATTGATATACATTGTTCTAGAACTCAATATTTTTGCTGGATATTGTGTTCAAGGGTTTGTTGTATCTTGGGGGTAATTTGCCATTTAGAACTCGTTAGCAAACTTTGAGAAGTGAGGGCAAATAAAACCTTAAAGGAAAGTATTCCTATACGCCTCAAACCCTTCTTTCTGAATTCTCTATTCTTTTCATCCTCCCAAATTCGAATTTCCCCAACAATCTTTAAGGTTTTAAACTTGCTGCAATGGAGGTTGAAAAGAACAATGGATTACAGAAAATACAGATTGATATACATTGTTCTAGAACTCAATATTTTTGCTGGATATTGTGTTCAAGGGTTTGTTGTATCTTGGGGGTAATTTGCCATTTAGAACTCGTTAGCAAACTTTGAGAAGTGAGGGCAAATAAAACCTTAAAAGAAAGTATTCCTATACGCCTCAAACCCTTCTTTCTGAATTCTCTATTCTTTTCATCCTCCCAAATCCGAATTTCACCAACAATCTTTAAGGTTTTAGTCTTGCTGCAATGGAGGTTGAAAAGAATATGACGTCTTTCCTCAATCCTAATGTTCAACTTGATCGTTTTGATGGTACCAACTTCACCCGCTGGAAAGGAAAGTTATTCTTTCTTCTCACCATGCTTAAGATCGCCTATGTACTTGATCCGAAATTGGAGCCACTTCCTGAACCAAAGGAGGATGATTCTGAAGAATTGAAGACCGCAAGGAAGAAGCGAGGAGATGATGAAATCATGTGCCGGGGTCATATTCTCAACACTCTCTCCGATAGGCTCTACGATCTTTACAACTCGATGGAGTCTCCAGTGAAGATTTG